TTGGTCTTATATTTACAACAAGATTTCAAATTGAAGAAACAGATAACTGCGAAAATGATTTTCTAGAAATCTGGGATTGGAGAAATAATGATTGGGTTTCGTTGGGAAGAAAATGTGGTCGCGAATTTCCTAGTACTGTTAATTCGACAAGTAACAGAATGAAAATTTTGTTCAGAAGTAATGAAAGAATCACTGGTAAAGGATTTAGGGTAAGTATCGACATACCAAAAAAAACAAAACATCAAGAAACCATAAATAATTACTTTTTCGTGTACTTTTTAATTTCTAATTGATTTTTATGTTTAGACCGTATAAACTAATTGAATATGATACAGGATGTTTCATAAATAGACGAAAAAAAAGGAAAATGCCAAGTAAGATATCTGGCAAAAAATTTTGACATTTGACGTTTTTTGTCTATTTAATGATATACTGATGATGTTGTATATGTTTTTTCATAATTAAGTTCAAAAACTTTGTCAATGAAAGCTACAACATAGTTACAAACCAGGATACAGCTTCATTGTTTCTTCTTCTAACAATCTGTAGCAAAAGAACATGTAAAATTATTTTTACAACAAAAATAAATAGAGTCAAAGTGCAAAATTTAAACTTTCGTAACTTCTAAATTTTTATAGATAGAATTTTTTTAAACATTGTTTTTTCATGTTTCTGGTATATTATTTTATTTGGCATTTTTTGTTTTTCGTCAATTTACAAAACAACCTGTATATTTTAACTTTTGCGTTTTATTTTATTTATAGTTGTTTGGAACATGTTTTCCTATCTTCTTATAAAAAAAAAAATTAATACCAGTCTAAAAACTCTCATAACTTTTTTTTCAATATTTTTTCCATGTTCCTGGTACCTTACCTTACATGGCATTTTTCTCTAGGGCGTGCGTTCTGGCGCACCTGTATATGAAAATTATCACAGTTATAATTTTTTTGAACTACGATCTCGCTTTTTCAACTGTCTATAAAACTCTTGTCGTCTTCGGAGCTCTACAAATTAATGTTCAAGCAGAAAAGTTATTAATTATATTACAATTCTGTATAAATCTTTGTTAGGCTCAATGGGAGTGGAACTGTGGAGGCACTTTTATTGCTGACAGAACCGAACGTTTCATAGTGAGTCCTGGATTTCCTCAAGAATATAA